CACTGCTAGTTGTGGACTACTTAGAGAACATATTACCCCCACCTACAATAGTGTCCAACGTATTTAGTAGGATTGGTACGTACCCATTAGTATTCAAAGGTACGGTATATAACATATGTATAATCACGCTTAAGCACTCGCGCGCGCGCGCACACACACACACAGACGCCCCCCCCCCACACACACACAGAGTTCGATTTTCACTGAGTGCTTTAGGTTTAAGCCTTGTATCAGATAAATGAATCCGGGCCTGTATCGGCGTTCGCTGTAGGTTAAGTGTTTGCAAAGTTTATCTTGTAATTCATTGTAGCAAGTTTGATATTCACTGAGTCGTTCAGGTTTGTGAATTTACACGAGACTAAGTAGAGCTTTAGAAACATTACGGTGTAAGAGATAGCAAGAAGACAAATTTTCTTAAGAGCTACAAATGACAGGAAATCGTGGAGAGCCATGATCGTCCACATCGGGAAGAGATACGGCACATAGAAAAGGAAAATCAAAAGTATTTTCGTTTCATCATTTCATCTACATACTCAAAGATTATAAGTGACTCAACATTATTATTATTATTATTATTATCATTATTATTATTATTATTATTGCTATATATCATAGTAATATCAATCATAATTTGAAGTATATCTGTCGATTCCATTTTCCTTCCCCAAAAACATTACGAAACTCAGGCGTAAGATTCTTTCATGCCTTAATAATAATAATAATAATAATAATATATATATATATATATATATATATATATATATATATATATATATATATGTAAATGGATTCTCCCTTCCGTTTCGACGTATGAGGATCTGACAGCTTAGTTGATTCAGTTATGAAAGTTTGTGCGATAATCTTAAGTGGCATTTAAGACCCGCTAATGATTTACAAAGGAGGCCACATATGGAGCAAGTGTGAGAATTGTGAGATATATATAATTAGAAAAAAAACTTAAAAATCCATTGTCGGTAATAAATTTATTTCGATGCATATATGCATATATATCTCATCAGATCAACTACATTTTATGAATTTTTTTCATAAAATGTAGTTGGTCTGATGAGATGAATAGGCCTATATTTATAATTATATATTATAATATGCCTATGAATATGAATAGAGATGAATAGGCCTATATTTTTAATTATATATTATAATATGCCTATGGATATGAATAGAGATGAATAGGACTATATGTATGATTATATATTATAATAATTTGCTCTGTATCATACATTGAGCTCTCATACTGACAAAATGTACTCTTTGCAGTAACACATAACAATTACAATTTGGTATTATTTTCAAATATATATATATATATATATATATATATATATATATATATATATGTGTGTGTGTGTGTGTGTGCGTGTGTGAAAGTTTTTACAATAAAATATATGTATTTTTATGATAAATATAACATGGACTATTTTAACAGTATTTAAAAATATCTTATTTTATGTTGATGCGATTTTATTATGGACTTTAAGAGTTTTTTTTATCTTATTGTAAATATATATATATATATATATATATATATATATATATATATATGTGTGTGTGTGTGTGTGTGTGTGTGTGTGTGTGTGTGTGTGTGTGTGCAAGTAAGTGGAGTTATTGATATTTTTTCATTTCAGATACACGAAGGCTGCCATTGTTCGTAAGAAAGCCTTATCCTCAGGAGAGAAAAAATGATCTTGTAATGTTATCGAGTATTGGGAACACAGCATTGAAAATTGCAAAAAAAGTTTAATAGACATCTAAGAACAATGAAAACAAGATACTGAAATTGTTAGTAAGATATAAACGAGAAGATGGTTTCAGGAATGGCAAAATAAAATGTGATCCAAGAAAAATCTAAAGGATAATAAGTAGGGAAAAGTGCATTGACGAACCAGACAATTTTTGAAGAAAACAGTGTCGGGAATATAAAGAGAGACCATTTGCCAAGGACATGAAGGCATCCCAACTCGCATCTTTATGAATTTAGGCGCTTTACTAGATTGTAAAGGAGGTTGAATCAATTTACAATAGTCGATTTTGACACCTCATTCCCTGATGAAGATAAAGTGAAACATGTTAGATTGATAAACAAGTTTAACACATATAGTTGACTTTGTAAAGGTTTGAGGTGAAGCTTTTGATGGTCACAAGAATCACAAGTTTTACTCGTGATTGTTTTGGCAGGCGTGACGTACACAGATCTTCAGCTTCCAGGAGACGACGTGGAATAAAGGCAAAGCTGTGCTGGAGTCATTGCGTGATCGTATAAAGGAAAATTTGGTTTAGACAGTTTCAGAAATTGTCTCTGAAAAGTTCAGCATCATAGGACAAATACATACATACATACATACATACATACATATATATATATATATATATATATATATATATATATATATATATATATATATTATACTCATAAATGTTATAAATAATTTCAACAAATCAATATTCCAATGACGAAACATCAGAATATTGATTTCGGGTTATCGATTGGGCCGAGAATATATATATATATATATAGAATATATATATATATATATATATATATATATATATATATATATATATATATATATATATATAGGTATAGGGTTTGAAAAAGGTTCAAATCGATTTGAACCTTTTAAAACCCTTTATTCTACATTCAACACCATCCTTGATAAGCCACCGGTAGTGGCTATTTTTGTAGTGATTTTATAAGATATTTATGTTATAATTTTTTGAATAAATTTTATATATATATATATATATATATATATATATATATATATATATATATATATATATATATATATATATAAGGGAATGTCGAAAAGTTCTAGGGTCAATTCACTCCTGTAAATGATCTAAGATGAGATTGAAAGTACTTAGAAAAATAAATGAAATAATCAAAACTACGGCCCCTCTTAATCACTACTGTAAGAGCACAAAAATTCATCTGTGAATTAGAGAGGATTAAAATAAAATAGATAGATATAATATTTATAGATTATTCAACCAAATATGATTGAATGAAGATATGATGCCTATATATATATATAGATGTGTATATATATATATATATATATATATATATATATATATATATATATATATATATATGTATGTATATATATAATGAAATGTATTAATTATTAAAAATAGTTTTTCTTTACACGTTATTTTATTAGATGCAATTTATTTAAGTATATACTCTGTTTTTTTAAGAAACAGTATTAATTACATTTACTGGCCTGAATGTTAGAGAAATATGTGGTTCTAAAAATAACGTACAGACAGAATATATATATATATATATATATATATATATATTTGGTTGGATAGATGTGAGTTTGTGACCCTGGGTTTCACGCTTTAGCGATCGTCAGACAAACTGATTACTGTTTTAAAAAATTTGGGTTTATGTAGATTTTTTTAAAACAGTAATCAGTTTGTCTGATTTAATATAAATTTTGAAACCCAGGGTATAAACTCACATCTATCCAACCAAATATGTTAGCTCTATCTCTGATATTGAGGATTTTCTAATAATTACCGCGTATATAATATATAAATAATTATACATATATATATATATTTATTTATATTTATATTCACTTTTCACATATATATATATATATATATATATATATATATATATATATATATATATATATATATATGTATGTATATATATAATGAAATGTATTAATTATTAAAATATTTTTTTTTTACACGTTATTTTATTAGATGCAATTTATTTAAGTATATACTCTGTTTTTTTAAGAAACAGTATTAATTACATTTACTGGCCTGAATGTTAGAGAAATATGTGGTTCTAAAAATAACGTACAGACAGAATATATATATATATATATATATATATATATATATATATATATATATATATATATATATATATAAAAGTGAACATTGAAAAAACAGTCTGAGGCCTGACGATTGCACGGAGCAGGAAACAGACTGTCGCCTCTGAGTGATGACTTCAGTGTTCACTTTTATATTTATATTTACATACGCTTTATCTCTGATATTGAGTACTCTATCCCATAAATGTACCATACATTAAAACTATATTTCTTCACACACACACACACATATATATATATATATATATATATATATGTATGTGTGTGTGTATATATATATATATAAAGAGAGAGAGAGAGAGAGGGAGAGAGAGCAAGAGAGAAAGATAGATAGATATGTATCTATATATTATTTGCACATAGAGTGTATCTGTGAAGGAACAAAATGAATAAAAAGGCAAGAGGAATAAATGTTCTTAGCCAACGTGTTTCGTCCTCTGAGGGACTTTATCTGGATAAAGTTCTTCTGAGGACGAAAATCGTCGGCTAAGAATAGTTTTTACTCTTGTTTTTTTTATTGATATATAATCCACTATGTGTGCATATAATTGCAAGTTTCTGTATATCCATAAATGTACGTACACATATAGAAACAAAGAAATATCGACAGACAGATGTATAAGGTACACATTGATAAATAGATCGAATACTCCCGAATGTCAAAATGAAAGTTATGGTGTCTTTTGAAAAGTCAATGGCTGAAGTAATCAATCTGACCCCGACCCAAAAATAAGCGGGAAAAAGTACCCTCGCCCCCCACACTTCTCAAAAATAGAACAAAAAATATAAAAAAATTACTGACAGCATGTCAGTTGAATAGAGAAAATCAAGGGAAATTTACTTTTTATTGCCGGGATCTTAAAAGAAAAAAATCTTCCTGAAGAATTTGCCGCGTTTTTTTTTTTTTTGTTTTTAAAGTCACATGTTGCAAATTCCACAGGCGATCGTTCTATCAAATAGAAATTGTATTTTGTTTTTTTCTTTCTTTCTTTCATCCATCTTTTCTTTTTCTTTCTTTTTACAAGTTTTTTTTTTCTTTCGATAATTTATTCTACTTTTCTTTCTACAAACCATTCATTTTCCTACAATCTCTTCTTTATTTTCCCTATACTATATTAGTTCTTTATTTATACAACATATTCAGTCTTCTATAAACTATTTTCCTACTACAATATCATCTTTTTTTTATTCTTCCTGTGATCTGCTCTTTCTTTCTACAATTTTCAACTTCTTTCTTTCTTTCTTTCTTTCTTTCTTTCTTTCTTTCTTTCGTTCGTTCGTTCGTTCTTTCTTTTTCATCTTCGAAATATTCAGTACTAACTCAGTGTATATGAAGTCAATAAGTGCTCTCACCGTGAAGTGATGACTGTCTACTTAATCTCACAATCTTGCTGAGTAGTGAGATTGATCCTCACTGGGTGTAACACTATTGCAGCCTCGTGTCAGATTCAAATATACTTATACAACTAAAGTAAAAACAAAAAAAAACAAACGTGCTATTTTAATGTGATATATTGAATTGTGGAAAATCTTTGTTTTTAGCCTTAATATTTACTAAGCTTAGATAGACTGGCACAAGGCGATAAATGTAGAGCATAGTCATAGTACAGTAGTAATAGACTCAGACACAAACTTAATGACAACTACACTGGGTCGAGGTGACTTTTTAATCTTTTCACATTTTCTTTCTTTTTTTTCTGACTACGATACTTTCTTTTTTCTTCTCTTTTTCTTTCTTAATTTTTCTTTTTTTTATCTTTCTTTTTTCTGGCCTTTTTCTTTCTTTCTTTCTTGATTTTTCTGTTTTTTTTTTCTTTTTTTTTGTTCTTTCTTCTCCGATCTTTCTTTTGTTTGGCTTTTTTCTACCCTTTTCTTTCTTTTTTTTTTCTTTTGTCTTCCTCCCTCCATTTTCTTTCTTTCATTCTTTTTCCTGCTTTCTTTCACGGATTGTCTCTCTACTTCAGTTGCGTCTCACGTTTTCCTCTCTTTTTAATTAGATCTAATCTGTCTTTTATTTCCACACCTTGCAAGCTGTCTTTTTGATAAACATTCATTCGTTGCTTTTATCACATTCCACCGCGCCGGTCGCCATTGCAGCCACTCCACAGTGACTCATATCGAACTGCACACAACTTTCATTGAAAGACTTTCATCGTGAATCACAATAAAAAGGTCGACATCATTTCACTGATCAACATTCGGCTTACTTCACACATTCAAATAAGAAAAGATTATGAGAAAAGAAGCTGCAAATTGTGTGACTGCTAAAATATACTGCATATACTCGTGTATAAGTCGAGTTATTAAGACCAGATTCCCTAGTAAAATTCTCCATTTTCGCATTTGGGATATGATTTATTTTGAACTGGCTACAAGGAGAAAAGATTTGGAATTGCAATACGCAAATCCCCAGATATTGTAACAGAGAATATCGTACACGAGTCAAAATGACTGATGGCTGCCGACATTGTTGTTCATAGCTGTAAGATCAGAGTGTTATCAGATTGTGTCCCAGCTTGGTTTTCGTTCTGGTAAGAGATGCAATGATGGCATATATGTTATCAAACAACTCCAAGAAATTGTTTACTTTTCTAATAGGAAATTCTATACCTGCTTTGTCGACCTCACAGCAGCATATGACCACATCGAGACTTCCTCTTCTCATCCATTAGAAAACCGCCCCCTAATCTCGGAAGAGTATTAGAATCAAATTATGTGAGCGTCACAGATGCAGATATGGAACCTCCATCGATGAGTTTGGTTTGCCTCCTCTCTCCTGTCGTCGTAGTGCCGGTCGCAGCCACGGCATGCAGCCGTTAGCGACATCATCAAAAGAGGTTTGGATGCAGCTGGGTTCCCTTCGCAAATCGAACCCGTAGGCCTCGACCGCGGTGATGGAAAGCGGTCGGATGGCATTACCATTTTCCCTTTTAAAATGGGGAAGTCGTTGATTTGGGATGCGACCTGTGCGGATACATTTTCGGCCGGTAATTTGATCAGTTCCGCGGTTGAGCCAGGATCCGTCGCCCGGGATGCAGAGATGAAAAAAATAGTTAAATATTCTTCTCTTGCTGATAGATTTTTTTTTTTTTTACTCCTGTGGCAGTGGAGACTTCAGGGGTTATTGGCCCTCTTTCGATGGCGTTCCTTCGGAGGATTGGCGCGATTGCGTGTCGATTAAGGGACGAGCCTCGATCTAATAGAGGAAATGTATCGATCTACAAAATCTTGCATGTCTGATGAGGAACCTAATACGGAACCATTTCAAACTTCATCAGTAGTACGACAAAGAGGAAATGAGAGTCTCAGTCTATTTAATCTCTTCATAGACTATACCCTACGCATTTACAAACACAGAGATGAAGAGATGGCCACTAATCATTTAACATTCCAACATTTGCCACACCCAAAATGAATCTATCAGTAGAAGATAACGAATACTGTTTTCCCTCCCGAGGTCAATGTATGGTGATGAAGGAGGTTATGTTGATGACATAGACATTCATAGTTTGGATAAGAATGATCTAGAATAGAAAATCAGCATCCTCTATGAAATATTCCAAGAAATACGATAGAAAATAAATCTTTCCAAAACAGAATCTAAAATCTGGAATGGGAATGAAAGCAGTGATGGCACATACTCTGAATCTATCATAAAAATTAAGAACATGGAATTAGTAAATACTAAACATTTCAAATGAAATTATTGAAATGATTAGATGTAACCGTAAGTCCTATGCTAACAGTTTCTTCTATCTTACTTCTCACATGTGGAACTCTCTTCCAGCTTCTTGCTTTCCAGTCAATTTTGATCTTCAAAAATTTAAATGCAATGTCAATCATTCTCTTCTGTCTTCTTAATTCTTGTTCTTTTATTTCCCTTAATAGTAGTATCTCTTATATTCTCTAACACTCTTTTGTTCTCACTATTCACGTGTTCTATCCGAGATATTCTTAGCGTCATTCTGTAGAATCAAATCTCTGTTGCCTTCTTTGTTGTCTTCTCTTCATATGTGAACAAAATTGTTCAGTATTCTCTGCTATATAGGAGGATTTTTATTGCATAGGAGTAAGTTATCCAAGAGAGAAATTACAGAAAGCTGTGATGGCACATAATCTGAATCTATCATAAAAATTAAGAACACGGAATTAGTAAATACTAAACACTTCAAATACTTAGAAGTATAAATCAGTTATAATAAATTTAGATAAGAAAACTGAACATAGAATAGGTTGTGATAAGGCTAGTTTTGCACAACCCTGTAGATTAGCCTCGTTGGACCGAGACTTTCATATAAATATCATACTGTCATACATGGCGCCAAAAACGTTCAGAAATACAGCGGTATAGAATCTGTTTACAACCGGTTTCTAAGATGAATAGTAAGAAAAAGGCTTTGAACAAGTGAAGTTTAAAGGTCTTGGCAAAGATTATCCTTATTGGAACATTGTGTACTGGCGCTACATAATCCCAAACAGAAAATTGTACCAAATAACAGGAATCACATCACTTGAGAACTACAAGCTGCAGCAATAACTAAAATGGATAGCACATGTAACTCGAAGAGAAAATAAGGAAATAATTAAGAGGCTAATATTCCAGACTATACCATTTCTAGTTCAATTTGGGGCTAAGCAAGTTCATAATGAAATAGCCAAGTTCAGAAATCGGACGTAGCAAATTCATAAGGAAATAAGCAAGTTTGATTTGGAACAAAGCAAATTCATAAGGAAATAAGCAAGTTTGAATTGGGACTAAGCCGATTCATTATGGAAAAATGTTTCGAACTTATCTGCGTGTTTCAATAAAAAAATATCATGGATTAAAAAATCAACTGGGCGGTAAATCAGATAATTAAAAATCGGAGTTTCTGGCACTGTCATTTGTAAGACAATCAGGGAGAATAGAAGAAGAGATGGATAGATTGTAAATAATGTTAAAAAAGAAAGAATAAAAGAGAGTTATTCAAAATGAAATGATTTGTGAGACAACAGGACAAATCTTGAAAATCCTAAGAAAAAGCAGCAAGGAAATGTTGAATGCATATATCAAGACAGGTTTTGAAAAAAGATAGGTATTGTAAGAGATTTTAAGCGCTGAAAGTTGCATCCAAAAAACATACATCTTTCATGAATTTTGTTGATTTATTGATTGCTTCTAAAAGATAAAACATTTCGATAGTAAAATTTATCTGAACATTATTATTTTATCATGAAAATATTTAATTTTAAAATCTTTTTTAGCAAAATAATTGCTCAATCCTAAATTGAATTTGTCTAATCCATTTTGAACTTGCTAAGTCCCAAATCAAATTTACTTATTCCAATTTTAAATTTGACTATTTCATTTTGAATCTGCTTGATCCCATTTAGAATTTGACAATTTCATTTTGAATTTGCCACATCCCAATTTAAATTTGACTATTCCATTTGGAATTTTTTATGTCCCATTTTGGATTTGACTATCCCATTTGGAATTTGTCTATTCCATTTTTAACCTGGCTATTTCATTATGAATTTGCTTACTCCAAAAATGACTTAGATTAGTCCCAAATTGAAATTGAAATTGTATAGTTCAAATAAAAGGTTCCGAAGGAAACATCCATCAATACTGGAAAGAGCGATATCAGCCATTGTACTTAAGAAACCTGTTTTCCTGAAAATTGTTTTAAGAGAAAGATTTTATAAATTTCAACCAAAAGCAGTACTGTCTTTTCGGTCAGTGAATGTCAAATATTTCCTTGGAAGGAAACAGCTAATATTAACATTACCATTAATATCTAAACAATTCTGGTAAGAGGGAGATAAAAAAAAAATCATAAAATAATGAGAACAAAGTGGATCACCGAAGTTAAGCAACGTCGAACCTGCTCAGTAGATAAATGGTGACCGCTTGGGAATACCACGCTGTAAGCTTGGATGTGTCGGTAGCGTAATGGATAACGACTCGGCATTGTTTACCAGAGAGCCGTGTTCCAATTCTAGTTGGGTTCGTTATATTCCTTTGCACACAAATACCATTGAGAAAGGTATGAATCCACCGCTTCTCACCCCCAGCTATAGGTTAATTAGTAAGATTTGTATCACTAAACCGTTATTATCTCAAAAAATAAACATTTAGATTTCGGCATCATAGAGTTTGACATGATGTTAAACAAAAATCAACCGACAGAAATTATATCTGAATTCGGTACTTTTCTCTGGATGCCGTTTTCTTTTGTGGGTACAGGGAATTTACCAAGACCTGTGACATTTTGGTCTGTCGCACCTGCTATTCCTTTCTTTCTTTCTTTCTTTCTTTCTTTCTTTCTTTCAAATCTATTACCTTTTCGCAGGAGAGTACAGGAAGTCGGCCTCGTGGCATCGTACGCACTCAAGTCGCCAAAAGACATTTTTTCTTAAAAGACAAGCAGTCTAATCGACTTTTTAAATCATTGTCTACATGTTTCTTTTCTCTAATCCTTTATTTATTTATTTAATTTATGTGATTCATTTATCCTCTTTCTTCAGCATTTTCCCCACCTTTTTTTCTTGTATTTGTTTGTCTATTATAAACACGTTAGTTACATATCGCTTTTAACTATTCCGGTATCTGTCACTTTCCTGACGACAAGCTGATCAAATTTCAACTCTAAAAGGTTTGTTCAATTGAAATACTACATTTATTAGAAAATGTATTCAGTTTAAATACAGAAGGAGTCATAAAAATGACTTGAAAGAGCCGACTAATATCTTTTCCTGTTACCAAGGGTTGTTGCCAGACAGGAAAATTACCCTTGCGGCAAAGGTGTCCATTTCAATATCATTCAAATTGTGTGTGTGTATGTTCGATTGCATGTGCGGATTTATATATTAAGTCAATGAAAACCTAAAAATATTTCTGCAATTTTTTTAAAACAGGCTTTCAAAATAAATTTCTTTATGTTATGGTAATTTGACCACGCTATGAATAGGAGCAGGTACTGCCTTTTAGAGGAGGAAGTTTCCAGTAGTCAGCTTTGACAGTTAGACCAAATATTCTTGCTGTAACACTCTTGTTTGTATATGTTTGCATTACTGTTAATATATTTGTTTAACTCAATTCCTCTCCCGTGTTTTCATTTCTGGCCCTAACAAGGCCACAACATTTTAGGACCAAATAATTTCTGTTAAGTTTTAAAAAAAAACAACTTATAATTAACTTATTTTTAGGGCTTAAAGAAATTAATATTCTTTTCTGGTTTTCATATTTATGATTTTATTGCTCATCCCACGATAGGAGTTGTCCAGACTGAGTGAGAATAATAATGGATTGTTTCAATCTTAGTCAAATTGTGTGTGTGTATTAATGTTTTCATGTGCATGTTGCATGTGCTATATTTTAATTCACTATCAGACCCAGAAATGTTTCTACAAAATTAAAAAAATCTTCAAAAGAATTCTATTTGTTATCGAATAATTTCCGAAAAGTTAAAAAAATATCTTATAATTATCTACTTTTTTACGATTTAAAACTTAATTTTTTTCTCTAATTTCTAAGTTTATGATTTTTTGGCTCAAATCAGGATAGGGATTGTCCAGACTGAATGGGAAATTCCAATGGATTGGGTGTATACTGAATGGCACAAGCACATATAAGTCACTCACACAAAACTCAGACATACGTATATAACTTAAACGAAAGTAACATCGTGGTTTATTTATCAGTACATTTAGGAGTCATTTCAATGAATAATGTTCTAAATATGATATGTGAAGACATTAAAATATTAACAAAATCAATGACATTTTCTCTTTGTTCATCGGATATTGTTTGTCGAAAAAAAAACAAAACCCAAGGTATTCTGGATTATTTTGATCCTTGGTATTTGAAAATTGTCTACTGAAGGCAGGATCTATGTGTATCCAATCCTTAATTTCATATATTTATGTCTTCGTTAATAATCGCGTCTAATCACCGACGAATAGAAAATTCATTATAAAATTATAAAACTATTATTGACTCATCAATTTAGATGCTTTTTTTCCCTTTTCAATTTTCGCTCAGGAAAATCATGCCCAACAAAAGCCCTCCCCCTAGTGATTGCCTAAAATAAAAATATTCATTAAAACTCTAAAAAGAAAATCATCAAATATAATAATAAATTATATCTAATATAATCAAGAGACAAGCTTCTCAAAACATTAGACCCCCCACAAAAAAAAAAGAAAATCGGTTTAACAAAAGAAAGAATAATAGAAAAAAAAATTATAAGAATAGAAAATTAAATAATTGTAGAATAAAATAATATAATGAAACAAATAGAATAAAAGAATAGCAGAATAAAATAACGATTTGAAATAACGAATAAGATAAAATAATACCAGAATATTAACATAATAAAAGACTTAACAATATAAAATCAAAAACATAATCACAATAAAACAACAATATTTAATGAACACGGGATAGGAAATACTCGAATATCAGAGTGAAAGAATATCAAAGAACAGAATATCGGAATAGAAATAAAAGAATATCAGAATAAAAGAATAACAGTAACAAAGTATCACAGTATATATTTATATAAAAAAAATAACATTAAAATAATAACCGTATAAAAGGAAAAAAAAAACAAGATAAAAGGATACTAAAAAATACTAATAAAAGAACCAGACAAAAAGAAAAAGAAAAAAAAAAAAGAAAAGGAAAAGAATAACAGAATAAAAGTATATCAAAATAAAAGTCTAATAGAATAAAATCTGACCATCGATATCAGTTACTTTCTCACAGTCGTGATGCGCCTTTCCTGTGCCATTTCTACAAATATTTTCATGGCAACTGTTCTGAGGAGCCTTTTCCTTTAGTTCCCCGACTACATGAATTTATGTGTGCTTCTAGATTGGCAATTAGGTCTCATCGTTTTACGGTTGAACTAGCAACTGTGTGTTCTGTCACAGTCCCTTAGTGATGATATTTCATCACAACTAAAAATAGAAATTACCCTTTCTAGAGAAGACCAATTCTGTGATTCTCCAAGAAAAAAAAATTCTCTTTACCGCCCAAATATCTGTGATACTAGAATTAATGTTCCTTTACCCACTAGAGAAGGCAGTGGGACTTTTGATTGTCAATAAAACAGACGTGGAAATTGAAACCAGTCTTCGTATCTCGTATGCAGTTTAATCCTCTAAAACATTCAAGTAAGGTAAACAAAAACGAAAAAAAAGAGAATACATAATACAAAAAATAATCATGATACTAAAAACATTTATGTACTGTGTCGCATATCACAATTTAACACACAAAATAATAAAAAAAAACGTCTATAAATTTATAACCAACTTATAATTACATAAAAGGGAATAAAGTCTCGATTCCGTATTCTGTTTTTCCATGTTTTTCCTCACAATTCATTTTTAGCCTTATCCTGGAAGATTCTGCTGCTAAAATTTGGAGATAGATAGTTAAAGTCACAGTAACTTGTTACGGTTTTTCTTTTACTACTACAATCTAAACCACATACACATAAAAGTAGTAACCCCACATACATAATTACGGCAGTGGTGACATACACTACCAGTTGCTTATGTTCTATTCTAATAGTCTTTTTTTCTCGCCCTTCTCGCCAGTGGAACTCACTTCCGATTTCTTACTTCCATACCACCTACAATCCTTCAAAATTCAATCGCCATCTTCTGTCTTCGTGAATCTTGTTCCTTTATTGTTCTTTTCTCATTTCTCCTCGCTAAAATCTTCTCTTTCGCTCCCTGTAACCCCCCTCCCGCGTCATAGTGGCATTATTGCCTTGCTTGGCGTGAAATGATTAAAATAACAAGAACACGAACAAAAAATAAAATAAAATAAAATAAGTGAAGGTTCGCAAATAGAAAATAATGCCAGTTTAAAAGAATAATAACTGAATTAAAATATTTAAAAAAATCACAGAATAAAAGAATACTAAAATTTAAAAATGACAATCAAATAATAACAAAATTATAATAAAAAAAAAACAGCGAAAAAAAAAAAAACTGTCTAAATTCCAGGATAATATTTATTGTGTTTATTATTTGTTTCCTTTTCAAAAATATTTCCCTTTTCCTCTGATTTGCTGATGTTAATTTCAGTGCCATCCAACGCTCTCCTTCGACATTTTTCCTTCTTTTCTTTTTTTTCTTTTTCAGAATTGTTTTTCATGGACGCCGCGAAGCTACGCAGTGAATTCTTGATGAAGTAATCGTTTTGCTAAGTGTGAGTAATCATTTGTTTCGTAGACATCTCCACGCAGACACACATACACCATAAATGAGAAGCATAAATGAAGACAAACCGAAAAAAAAAACATTTTTCTCTAGTACGCACGCGCGCGCATGCGCACAGACACACATATTCGAGATACAAACTTTTCTCGCGCAGTCGGCAAGGGACTACTTATAAAAGACTGTGGAAACTAAATTTTTTCATGGTCAGATTCTCCAAATCATCGTAATTTTGTTGAATTTTTTAAATCCAATATCCCTTCAGGACGTAAGCTGCCATTGCTCTACCGAGATCTCTCCTCTTTAACATCTGTGAATTGCCACGACTTCTTGGGAAAGATAGTGGAGAGGCTTCTCGTTGTCTTTTCCAAGTATTTGAAATAAGACTTTCCTGAAAGCTTCATAGCCAAGTTTATTCTGGTATTTGATCCAACGCTGGGGTCCGCGCATCCCGTTACATCATCTACTGTTTTAAATATAGGCTTTTCAGACATTAAAATATAACTTCCAAAAGCTTCCTGAAAATTATGAAAAAAAAACAAAAAACTTTCTCTTAAGTAAATGATTTGACATCTAATTTATTTTTAATCACATGCAATGATTTCACTCTCCCACTGAACTGAATGTCGAGGCTGTGTTTGTTGATTGGATTCGCGATGAGAAAGCGAGTCTTTTTCGTAATTCAGATGAAATGGTGTAAATATTATTGAAATCCACATTAAAAGATTTGTGAAGTGACCATATCTATTAAGAAAGTGCGCAGTTCACTACCTCCCTTGACACGCAACACACAATCAGACACGCATACCTGATGATTTAATACATGCACATCACAAGAGTGTACACAAATGCAACGATTATATTAAGTAAACTGCTCGGTCTTCTGCTAAGAAGATTGGTTTACTGTGTCGTGCCGGACAATTTTGCTTTTTAGAATCCATCTTGCACATTTATAAAGCTACCATTCGTCCGTGCATTGAACATTACTGCCATATCTCGTCTCCAGATTCTCGACAAAATCCAATGAAGAGTATGCAATGTTATCGGTCCTGACCTGGCATCCCGAGTTCAATTGCTATCCCACCAGCGTGACTTCTGTCTTTTGCATATTTTCATGGCAGTTATTCTAATGATCTCTTCTCATTTAATTCCCCCTTCCCTCCATCGTTAGGTGGTCAGTAATGTCAGATCTCTGGTGGATGCGGGGCGCCTTTCTTTTTGGGTGTGATTTTCGTATTTGTTGTTGTGTCAGAATTAGTTTGTGGTTGAGTGAGTGCTTGGGATGAATGAATATTTTATATTATTGATTCCGTCCAGTTAACTATGAGAAAGTTGTCTTGCATTCACTGACATATAGGTGGATTAATAGTACTTAGCAATATGGCCTTCTTTTCTTTGTCTCTAATGATTTTTTTTCTGTTTATCATCACTTTGCTTAGCATTTGGAAGGCACCTTTCGTTCATCCAATGTATCTACGGATTTCGGTGTCACATTTTCCATATTTGGTTAAAACACTTCCCAGATATTTAAACGTTTATACTTGCTTGATGTAGACATCTCCAATTTGTAAATCACATGTGGAATTTTTTTCTTTTTCTGATCACCATTTTTTCTGTCCTCTTATAGATGATGATTAGTCCTTTTTTTATCTCTTTCTTCTACCAGGAGGTCCTGTAATTTCCTTTCTACGTCGGCCATCAACACAGTATCATCTGCCTGTCGTATACTTTGTGTGTACGCATGTCAGAATAAGGAAAAAGAAGGGCGGTAAGCAGACAATAACATGGAAACAATATTCTGCGCATTGTTTGTGTCGTATTGTTTATTTACGACCAAAACTTGGAAAGAAAGTGTGAATGAGTGTAGGGATTCACATCTCGGAGAATTATTAAAAAAACTCAGTTATAATTAATGGTTATTTGCAGCTACAAATAAACAAGATAAATAAAAAAAAAACATTATGACGAGTACGGAATATGGAAGGTATCATGAAAAATACCCTAAAAATATTTATGCTAAAGTCGTATTAGAAGGGTTTGAAAAAATCTAAAAAAATCCTTCACCGGTGCCTCTAATCAAATGTATATTAATGAAGGATTTCTACACAAATATATATATATATATATATATATATATATATATATATATATATATATATATATATATAGTATATTTTCATTCAAACATGTTTCACTAAATAATACAGATATTCTATGTCTTTATTTTTCTAATAATCCTTTCTAGTTCTCTAATCAGTTTCTGGCCTTCCCTGATCACGAAACTAATTAGAGAACTAAAAAAAAAAGTTTATTGTAAAAATAAATAGATAAAATATATATTATTATGCAATGAAACATCTTTGAATATATATATATATATATATACATCCAACTCTTTCCGAATCCTCTGCACTGTCCTCAGATCGACACTTAAACACTCTCAAATGTACGTATTACAGATTCCGGTGCGAATTCCAAGCCGTACATCATCCTTTTTCCAAATCTCTGATGGAGTGAATTGCGTCATGGTGCTCTTTTTCTCACAGACGATACACAACTGACCCTACTTTTCTGTACAGTCGACAAAATTAAAAACAAACAGGCACATGTGATTCTATAACAAATTTATGTTATTATTTTTAAATAAATAATTATACTCGCTCTACTCTGTATTGAGCACCCTTTTAAGAATAGTAATTGTTGTTTATTGGAATTTATTCCGTATACACCAAACATATAATTGTGTGTGTGTGTATATATATATATATATATATATATATATATATATGGTTTTCAGCCGTCGAGGTGCAATAGAAATGCACGGAAACGAAGTTGCATCTTTGTAGTGAGTAAGCTGTTTTTGTCTATATGACAAAATTATAATAAATAATATATATATATATATGTTTGTGTGTATGTGTGTGTTTGTGTATGAGAAAATATAGATTTAATATATACTTATCGGTAAAAGTGCTCAATATCAGGGATAGAGCCTGTGTATATCGTAATATTCTCGCCTGTTACGAAACAGACTGTCACCACTCGATGTTGAACTCAATGTTTACCCTTATATATATATATATATATATATATATATATATATATATATATATGTATTCTTAACTCAGCACCTGAAGATGGCGTTGTGAGCGAAACCCGATTGAGCTACCGGTTACATTGTATCGAGCACTATTCAATATGTGATATATATATATATATATATATATATATATATATATGTGTGTGTGTGTGTGTGTGTGAGTAGAGGTTTATCCCATGTTTCCTGTTTAGGATTTTCGGTTTCATATCAGTTTTCTTATTCTCTTTCACTTCCAGTAACACCGTGCATCCTAGCGGCATTATTACTTGGGGTGAAATGATTAATATATATTAATATATAGATAGATATAATATACTTAAGAAATATCACTTAGCCTTTACAAAACAAGTTGACCAGTAAATTACTAAGTAAAGGGCACAGTCTTGCAAAATAGTCACTATAATTAATAAAGAAATCCAAATGACTTATTCTCTGACTTGAAGTTATGCAAATATACAATTACACTCAAAGATCTATTTATCTGACTCCAACAAATTTAATACTATCCCTACAAAACTACAAGTCAGAAGATAAATTATTTGGACCTTTATTTATCTGTCATATATATATATATATATATATATATATATATATAAGTATCTATGTCATAATAACAAACACATTCAGATATAAATATTTTGCGCATAAGCGGTTTATATATACTCATTCTACATCTTCATATATCTGTCCTATATATTTTATATATCTATAAATTCAGTTGTGTTATATGTATGTGTTGTATATAAATGTTTACAAAGTTATGCATGTATCTGCTATATATATATATATATATATATATATATATATATATATATATATATAGCAATCAATCAATACGCAAACATATGCATGCTATATATGTGCCGTATATATATGTTCGGTGTATATGTATGTGGTATATATATATTTGAACGTGTATGTCTTATATACCTGTATGTATGTATGTGGTAAATATATGTGTGTAGTTGCCACATATGCTTGTGTTAGCTATATGCCTTATATTTATGTTTATATGTGTTTGTAGGTGTTTTATATATATATATATATATATATATATATATATATATATATATATATATATATATATATATATATATATATATATATATATGAATAATTATATATATATATATATGTGTATGTGTGTGTGTTTTATATATATATGTGTTATCTATACTTGTATATGTTTGTGTTATGTGGTGATAGATGTTTAAATAAGGCCCGTAATTACGTGCACAAGTCATCATTCAATCAAAGCAGTAAAGGAAAAAGAATTCCGCGAAAAAGAATCGGAATGCAGAAACCCATCAATAATTATTGAATCGACCGAATTTTAGCTGAGTTTTTCCCATTTGTATTTGGGATTGACTCATTGGAAGGGTCATCAAGTTCAAGGTTTTCCCCGAGGGCTGCTTTTTATGAAGAAAGCACTCACTCTCTGACGCCTTTTGTATAATACACCTCTTTTGTGATAAGTACTGTAGATATGAGGTAGATTTTGGAAAAAAAGGCATCTATCTATCTATCTATCTATCTATCTAACTCAGTCAATTTAATTTGCCATTATTCTTTTCATTCTATTTAGTCTAGTCATATCGATCTTGCAATCGGTTCATATTTTGCCTCTTTTCGTTTTTTTCATTTCTGTCTCAATCTGTAGACATCTATCTATCTATCTATCTATCTATCTATCTATCTATCTATCTATCTATCTATCTATCTATCTATCTCAGTCGCCACATATGTATGTATGTATATATCTCAGTCGCCACATATGTATGTATGTATGTATGTATGTATCCATCTATCTCAGTCGTCACATATGTATGCATGTATTATCTATCTATCTATCTATCTATCTATCTATCTATCTATCTATCTATCTAACTCAGTCAATTTAATTTGCCATTATTCCTTTCATTCTATTTAGTCTAGTCATATCGATCTTGCAATCGGTTCATATTTTGCCTCTTTTCGGTTTTTTCATTTCTGTCTCAGTCTGTAGACATCTATCTATCTATCTATCTATCTATCTATCTATCTATCTATCTATCTATCTATCTATCTAACTCAGTCAATTTAATTTGCCATTATTCTTTTCATTCTATTTAGTCTAGTCATATCGATCTTGCAATCGGTTCATATTTTGTCTCTTTTCGGTTTTTTCATTTCTGTCTCAGTCTGTAGACATCTATCTATCTATCTATCTATCTATCTATCTATCTATCTATCTATCTATCTATCTATCTCAGCGTAGTTATTGCTATCCGAATCTTTCTTACCGCTCTTTCCATTCTAACCCTGCCCCTTATTACTATTGTTACCTCTTTTCTCTGCAATATACTCCAGGCAGGTCTTTATTTTCTCCGTCTTCTTCCTCTTCCTCCAAAATACACCAGCCTGTTTTTGTTGCTTCTGTTTTCCCACTTTATCTATAATACACCTCACTATATTCTCTATTGCTTCATTCTTCTTCTGTTCTTTCCAAACGTACCCCAGTCTGTTCACTATTGCACCTGTCTTTCTCTTTTTTACAATATACCTTTATCTATTCATTAGTGCTTCTGTCTTCCGTCTTTCTGTAAAATATACCTCAGTTTGTTCATTATTGCTTTTGTCTTCACTCTTTCGATATAATATGCCACAATCCGTTCATTATTGCTTTTCTATCCTCGCCTTTTCTATACCATAATCAGCTTTTGCTCATTACAATTGACCCGAGTCTCTTTCTTTCACTCTTTCTCTTTCTTGCTCTTCCCCAGTTCATCGTCTTCGAGATGAGTTTGTTTGTCCAATTATAAATACGATCAATGGAATGAGTTTTTTTATCTTTTGTCAGCCTAATGAAAACTTTGTTCATTTGTACATAAGACAAAAAAAATAAGTCGAAACCAAATTACAAACGTCCTGGGTATGTATTGTGGGGTCCTACCTACAAATGGACTCTTCCACACCTATATAATATGGCTACCAACTCTGAGTAAAGGGAGTCACCACGTGAGGGTCACCGAGTAGAAGCCATAGTGAGTGAATGAGTGAGAGAAAGTACTCTCCAGTCCACATTTACCTTTTGTACTACGTTTCCGAGAATATACTATTTCACCTTATATCCGAGTCCGTCTTATCTTTCTATGGTTCTACACCATAACATTATGACGATAAACTACATCTGCGTTCTGGGTATGACGATAAACTACATCCGCGTCCTGGGTAAGACGATAATCTACGTCCAACAGCAAGGCCTCTGATAATACGTTTTTGAAAAAATAATATTATCAGCTATACATTTTTGAGGAAAAAAAAATATTAACAGAAATAGATTTTTGACAAAACAAAAATATTACCAGGAAGAAAAAAAAAATTAAATAACCCATTGAGGTTGATATGCCGTAAAACAAACCAAACCAAGCCAAATTACAAATAAAAAAGGTATATATATACTCATTCTACGTCTTTAAACATCTGCCAAACAATACCTTATTCTGCCTCAAATTTTGGCTTTCTGATTATGGTCACCGATCAAAAGGCATCCCTTTTCACACACACACACACACACACACACACAAACTTCTTCCGTGTGCCGTGTCCATTCAGGACGTAGGCGATTACAGCTCTCCTCTATTCCTTGTCATTTGTAGCTCTTAGTAAAATCTATCTTTTTGCTCTTGTGTAAGCGAGATCACCGAAGTTAAGCAACGTCAACCCTGGTCAATACTTAGATAGGTGATTGCTTAGGGAATACCAGGTGTTCGGATGTGCGGGTGTGGATGACGGCTCAGAAATCGGAGAGCCGAGTTCAAATTTCACTAGGGTCTGTTACATTCACTTACGCGCGAATAACCTTGGGCGAACATGGCATTTTTTTCGATTCATAATCACCCAAGTGTGTCACACGCATTGAACTGTCGCGGCAGGGTAATGGCCCATTCTTTCTCAAGATCTTTGGGAGACCTACGTTCAACAAAGACCCCCGCATGCTGAGAAGAAACAGTAACACATGCAAAAATAAATAAATAAATAAGTTAATCTAAAGATGCTATAAAATCAACTTGTAAGTGTCCAATCGTCCTCATCGATATTCTTTCTTGTTGACATTTAATCACTTCTTTATCCAAATGGATGACAACTTTTGTATACCCAATTGCTGAAGAATTAAAAATTTAAAGCTTCTCTTGTATCTGTCTATATTTCTGAGATGAGGTATTATGTACACTATTTATATTATTCGGACTATTGTCCCCATATTTGTCGCCATATTTATTACAACGTTTCGACCATTGTACGCTCCAGCCTTCTTCAGGTGGTTGGAATGTCAAACTGAACTCTTTATTTCGCACACTGGGGTAGATTGTTCTAGTTCCACGTGCCATCTCTTGTTAATTCCTCTCTGAAAGATTCCCAAGGACACATAGCACAGTGGATAAAGGCGTTGGTTAGATCCAGTGACAGGACCCAAAGACTGTGAGTTCAATACCTGGTTAAAGCAGTGGAGAACTTTCAGAGGGGAATTAACAGGAGATAACTGACATCCATCAAACATGGCACGTGAAACTAGAACAGTCTACCCCAGTGAGCGAAAGAAAGGGTTCAGTTCGACATTCCAACCACCTGAAGAAGGCCGGAGCGTACAACCGCCGAAACGTTGTGATAAACATGGCGACAAAGATGAGGACAATAGTCCGAATAATGTAAATAGCTTTCTCTTGTGTCTTAACGATTCTTTTGCTCGAGATAGGCCGAGTGACTAAAATTAGGTGATTAGCGATTTCATGTGTTGCCACTGTTTAAGTTCTCCTAAACCGAGTTCTATCTGAAAATCACAAAACTTGACTACAGTGAGCCCCCGTCTATTCGCGTTTTAGCATTCGAGGCTTCACACATTCGCGGATTTTTTCTTTAGAACATATATACTTGTTATTTGCGGGAACCCTGAATATTCGCGTGTTTTTCTGAAGAACATATGTACAAATTATTCGCTGAGAAATCCCTTGAACTCCTCCCTAAGAATTCGCGAAGTTTTTTCGATAGAATATATTTAAAATATTCTTGTATTATTTTCCTGTTAATAAAATGACTTAAAACATAATAGTCCATTTTTATGGTAAAAACTGGCAGAAGTGTACATCTTCAATGTGAAAAATCAAACGCAAAAACATGCGTAGTATTTGGGCTTTGTTCTTTGTTAGGGGCTGGGGTCTTAAAAACTGGCTTATGCTAAGTCTGGGGGTATCATCACAGTCCAATTATTTTATGTCTTGTTACACATATTTTATGCAGCATTTTCAATGGTTGTAATTGAAAATGGTTATTGTATGTATGAAATTAAAATTGGTCATTGTACTTATGAAAGAAAATTTATGCTAAGCATATGGTCACCAATACTATTTTTCATGTTTTTAAAATGATCTGAAATGTTTCTAAAGTGTTTAGGATGAAAGTTTAAGGCATATGGGGTTTTAAGAATCAAAATAGGTACTTATAAGCACTTTTAAGGGAGGGGGGTAAAAGTATCCGCGGATTCTAACTATTCACGACCGGTTTTGCTCCCTAGCCCACCCCCGCGAATACGGGGGGACTCACTGTACTTCATAAATGAGCACGATGGAAACTTTTAAAAAAATCATTTCACCTTAAGTAAGGCAATAAAGCCCCTAAGACAAAAGCGTTACTGAGGAGAAATGACAATAAAAGATCAGCATTTAAAAATATGGCGATTGACTTTACATTTAAATTTTTGAAGATGGTATTTGACAAGAAAGTCAGAAGAAAGTTCAGCAGTCGAGAAGTGCGAGAGATAAAAAGATTAGAATGCGTCATCTAGATATTTCAAATGTAAAATGATGAAACCTTGCTGCCAATCTAGTACTGTACTTAAATTTATAAAGCCCGGATTCTAAAGAGGAAAATCTATCAGAACAATTACCTTTAAAATATTTATAGAAAAGTCACAGGGAAGCTACATTACAGCAGTAGGGAAAGTGATTGAAGCCGAGATGAACAGGAGTAGAGGTTTATCCCTTGTTTCCTGTTCAGCATTAGGTTTCCATTTTTCTTTGAAAGTTTGCTCCTCCTCTCAGATCCCCGCCTTGCGTCTTAGTGGCATTATCGCTTCGCTTGGGGTCAAATGATTTAAAAAAAAAATCTGGTTTTTAATGAAACTTGCATAAACGAGAAATTGCTGCCTAAACATATATATATATATATATATATATATATATATATATATATATATATATTGAAGATATTTTTATTATTACTATTTTTTCGCTACTTTTCATTTTCTTTTTTCTTTTTTCATTTTTCTGTTACATTATTACAACTGCTGCTGATACTACTATTACAAGTGCATTTCTACTACTACTAATACTACAGCAACTACTATTTCTATGAATAATAATCAATTTCAGGTTCTTTTCTTACTTTCTCTATCTCATTTTATTTCTTCTTCTACCGCCTCTTGTCTCCTTCTTCCCTAACCCTTCTCGTATTTGTAGCCACCCCACCATCATCACCACACGAAGTCTCTCGGTGTATGGACCCTGCCAAATGCCGATCAATAACCGCCGATGATGAATCAGTCAGCCGTATGTAGGTGGGGCTGGGATACACGGTCGAAACTAAAAGGATGACGAGGACGGTGATCAGTCGACCTAGACGGCAAGACAGACATGTTGGTACATAGGGAAGTCTTTGCTTATACAATGCTTGAATTCAACTCTGCAGTCGATATCAGCCAATTTGTTGGGCGAATGAGAATTTTTCAGGACTAATACTTTTGACCTTACTCATCATTACACAAGAGGGATAACATCTTCATTTTGAACGACTGAAGTCAACCAGTATCTGAATCATGAAAAAAGTATTGATAACTTCAGCAGGCCAAAACAAAAAGAGGCCTTTCGCCAATCTTCTAATTAAAAACTAGCTTGCCTTGAAAATCTACATTCGAAATACTGGCTGCGTATCTTGGGTCCGAACACGTCATAGAAGTCTATCATTTATAGTTTCTCATATTTGTGAATTTACAACTTATCTGGTCAAGACAGAAGGCCAGCATTTCGATTGTTGTAAATACCTTGATTGGTTGTTAGAGTTGGTTATTTACGGTTTATCAAACTTTTTCAGGTTATTTTAAGCCAGAAAATATTTTAGAGTGTAAGAATTTTTTACAGATAATAATCATTTTACCGATACAAGTTCTACTAATTAACCCATAGTTGGGGGGAGAAGAGGCAGATTCATACTTTTCCCAAGGTTGTTTGCGCGTAAGTAAATATAACGAACCCGACTGGAATTGGAACTCGGTTCTCCGAATTCCAATTCCGAGCCATTATCAATTACAACAACCGTATATCCAAGCATACCTATTATTCTTAACTGGTCACTCATCTAGGTACTGACCAAGTTCGACATTGCTTAACTTTGGTGATTGTATGGAACCGGTGTTTTAACGTGATAAAGACGTAAGCCTTGCAAATAGCTTTATTATTTTTTTATCAGGACACTATTTTAGTAGATCAGTTCTTTGACCTGTTTTAGAACAAAGAAAAAGAATCGGATGATATTTGAACTCCAAATGCTTTGGTCAAAACGTACCTGGTTCCATGGTAGTTGTTAGTTCACAATCCCTGCCTCAAGTTGTGCGGAAAAAAATATAAAATCGAATCCAGTGAATTAAATGAAAAGTGTCATAAAGATGACTAAGCCTGCTGAGTAGCGACTGATACGAGTTATCTCCCCTAAGAAGGAAAAGCGTGGATTGAATAAAGAGTTCGGTTTAAAATTCCAAGAAAGTTACCGAGTATGAAGACAGACAATTAAAGAAGACTAGAAGGTACAGTGTCCAAAACGTTGTGAGAATCGAAACCAAGATGAGCGTGCTTGTCCAATTCATTTGAGTCCGATTTGTGATACACGCTTAGGCGATCATGTCTCTTTCAGTTCATGACAGAAGTAGGTGGCCATTTCTTTCTGCGATAGACTGTTTGCCACCCAATACTATAGGACCCAGACTGTCCTGCTATTCAACCGATATTATGGCGTGGGTGGGGAGAATAGAAGTATGTATACCTTTCCCAAAGATAAGGCAATGTAATGAACCCGACCGGAATTCGAACTCATTTCTTCGATTTCTCATGCCGTTATCCATCACACGGCGACGCACATCCCATTCGTACAACAAGCAAAGAATATAATAATGCTAATTCCTCGTTTCAAAAATTCTGCCCCAAATCCTCTAGTCTGTATATAATTTATTTTCTTAGACTCATTTTTCACTGATGTCTTTTGAAATAAGAATCAGACGTTTTCCGTGTCCCCTGTAGAGCAATTGGCGAGTAAATCTCTCAGATGAACTTATGTTTTTTTTTAAAATTATCTGCTTCATAAAGAGATAGAGTTTCTGTATGTTATTAAATAAGTTTGAGTATCATTGAGTGTTCTATTTTATAGCCTTTCGCCGGACAAGACAGCTCTTGAAAAATGGCTTACGAAATATAACTGAAATAAAAGCGTTTGATAATAGTATATTCCAACGTCGATAAGAATTTATGTTAACATTAGCTTCTGATGGACGGCCAGACCTCTTAGTATCCTCCGATGTGCTACATTAACGAGAATTTCAGAATCGACGTTTACTTGTTTTTCGTTTTTTATGGTGATTATCAAAACGCCTTTTATTTAAACGATTTAAAGTAATATTTCTCGTCGATAAACGAATCGTCGTCTAATCTAAGCAACATTTTATTAAAGCGTTTTATTATTATTCACTATTGATATGTCCCGGAAAGGGATATATTTGTTCGAAGTAGCAAAGTGGTTTTGGGACTACTGTAACCAGGTAGGACAATCTAGCAGGTAACCGTAATGGACTGGTCCTCATTGTAGTGGTGGGAAATAGGCGTAGGCAGTAGACGTCGTCAGTAGGCGTCCTCCATGTACCTCAACATCAGTCTGTATTTATGGCTGACACCAGCCAAACATATTACTGTCAGGGGGAACCCAGGTGTATGCATATTCATTACATCAGCTATTTATCCTTTTAGCGATTCGTTCGACTTCTATGAGTCCTGTAGTCTCGGCCGACATTGAATCTGTCAAGAAATTGGTCAAAACGCTTTATTTGCATTTACAGTTTGTGTTTCTATGAAGCCATTTTGCACTTACAATACCCCAGTTTGACTTTTAATTTGATGAAAATATTTTGCTTGTATTTTCTATCATTTAATAATTCTATCAATTCATGCTTTTTTTATATTATTTTACATATATGTAAGTTGCAAATGATTTGGTTTTTTGTTATTGAGTAATCAAAGCTGCCATATATGTGGGCTGATAATTCGATCTGATTCCAGAATATCGGCGATCGGTATAAAGAAATAAATGCTGAGGAAGGAGATTAAGCCTAATTACATCATACTTGATAATCAACAGAAAAAGTACAACAATTTTGGCCCACGAAGTATTTAATGCAAACTCGAGGCTTGTCTAAAGACATTTATTTCGTGCTGAATTCCTAGTGTTTAATTTATCAACAGAAAAATGGATCGGTTAAAAAGGATACGATAAAAAAATGGAAAGCTGAAGAAAACTGAAAAATATATGCAATTATGAAAATTATCCATTTCCTATTCTCAAATATCTATAGTCATCATTACAACTACAATGCAATAAAGAGTAAAGTGTCGAATAGAGGCGTAGAATAGAAGCGCTGAATAGAAACTTCGAATTAGTAGCGTGGATTAGAATTCGTCGAAGAGAATCGTGGAATAAAAGTGCAGATTAGAATCGTCGAATAGAATGGGGAATAAAGGATTGGAATAGAATCGTGAAATAGAAGACTGGATTAGAATCGTTGAATAGAATTGTGTAATGAAAGGGTGGAATAGAATAGTGGAATAGTAACGCGGATTAGTAACGTTGAATAGACTCGTGGAATAAAAGGGTGGAATAGAATCGTGGAATAGAAATGCAGATTATGATCGTGGAATAGAATCGTGGAATAATATGGAATAGAATCGTGAAATAAGAAGCGCGGTAAAGAACTGTCAAATAGACATGTGGAATAAAAGCGTAGATTAGAATCGTGGAATAATAGTGCGGCTTAGAATCGTTGAATAGAATCATGGAATAGAAGCGCGGATTAGAATCGTCGAATAAAAGGGTGAAATAGACTCGTCGATTAGAAGTGCGGTAAAGAATCGTCGAATAGAAATGTGGAATATAAACGTAGAATAGAATCGTAAATAGAAGCGTAGAATAAAATGTTGAAATAGAATCGTAGAATAGAAACGCGGATTAAAATCTCCGAAGAGAATAGTGGAATAAAAGCGTAGAATAGAATCGTCGATTAGAAGCATGAAAAGTTTAGGAATTACAATTCTCTTTTTTTACCAATAGGTTAACCTGTTATAGATGAATTACAAGCTCCCAAAATATGGAGTACGAATTATTTCGCTGTTCAATTTAACAGGCGAAGAATTGATCGGATTAGAACGGTGATAACAGAAAAAAAACATTGGAAGATTAAGAAACTCGCCTGAAATAATAACAAATTACGGGGAAAATGTAAAACTATTATCATAGAATTCGGGCCGATGAATAGCTCGGCTGCAAACGTAATTCGAAACAAACTATATAGCAGTATGATAACTAAGAATAAAATGGGTTTAATATTGAAAGCAGAAATAGATTTGCAGCTGTTGCTGTCAGAATCAATTTTTTCTTAGGATCGAATAAAATAAAAACAATTTCCCAATTTTCGATAAAAAGAAAAGCAAAAAAACAAAAAAAAATCGTAACTGCAAGACTTTCGGAGCAATCCGCATTCTTCAGTAAAGACGAAAGCGCGAAATGTATAGGAGACAACAACATGGCTGCCTCAAGCGATCGCAATTCCATTTATCACAGTCCTTTTCAACAGCTATATTGGCCAAAAATGTCTGCTATTGTTTGATGAGATAACGACATGCATATTCTGCGACAAAATCCATCATTGCAGAAGCACGAAGCTTCGGCTACAAAAGGTTTTCTTCCCTCGAAAAGAGGGCATAACAGCAATTGTCACAAACAATCCCGAATCGCTATTTCGATGCAGATATGCGTTTGAGCACTCAACTCGTGACCTATTTAGCGTGAGTTGATGCACAATACTAGATAATTGCAAATCATGTTCTTTCGCCAAGTTGATGTCGTTTTCTTATTGGAAAAGAGCCTGCTCAAGATGCGAGTATCGGCATAAAACGAGTTTATTTGCTTATACGAACCTTTTCCTCGGGACCTGTAGCCTAAAACATTAACCCAAATTATTTAATCTCCATGTAGAAGTGAAAGCAACACGATTAATTTGGCTGTCACTTTTGTTCTGCTTTTTAAATAATTGAAAACAAAATACGAAGAACGTTTCGAAAGTTATAGCTTTTTATTTATTTCCATGGAAGCGACAACAGATATAAAGGAACTGCTCTTTCGTGGGTTGAGAGCTTTACTATGGACGTAAAGTGACAAAGACGTCACTGTTACCAATGCAGTGCTCATCGACTAACTGTGCTCACATTCATTATTTGGTCTTCATAAACGTTTGAAAAACTTGAA